AATCAAATCCATCAAACATAGATTTACCCAAGAAAAGCATTAATTATAGATAAACAGCATACTTAACACTACTATTGTCAAGAAGAAATTTTAAGTCACTAGCATAATGGAGCAAATTTTGCATGTTACTCTTCTGCCTTACTGATTTACTTTTGGAGATTAACTAAAATAGAGTGCCCTAGCCAGTTTGGCTCTGTGGATAGAGCAGCGGCCTGACAACCAAAGGCTCCTGGGTTTGATTCTGGTCAAGGATACATACCTTGGTTACAGGATCCTTCCCAGCCTGGGCCCTGGTCATGGCTTGTGCAGGAGGCAACCAATCGATGTGTTTCTCTCACATTGATGTTTCTCTCTGTCTTTCCTATCTCTTCTACTCTCCTTAAAAACCAATTTAAAAAATCCTTGGGTGAGGAGTAACATAAAACAACAACAACAACAACAACAACAAAACAAAACAGAGAGCATAATAACCAGAATCTTAGCCTTGACATGACCAATGAGGAGGTGAGTGCTTTTGCGTGTCACTGTTGGCTTAATTGTACAATAGGTATTTTCAGGTATTCTATTTTACAGGTATTCTAAGAAGACAAGAGTGAGAATGTAGTTCAAAAGAGATATATCACTATCACAAGAAAAGAGGAAAAAGAACACACACATCAGGAAAATAAACTCAATTGTGCTTACTGTGCCTCACTGCAGCTAGCACTAGGTCAAAGATAACAAGTGATACCAAACTCCAAAGGTATATGAACTAGTATAGGGGCTTTGTAAAACTGTCCCAGTAGAATGACAGAAGTGAAGAAGCCCCAAACAATCTTTTCCTGAAAACAACAGACAGAAATGATACTCAACTATGCCAGGAAAAAATACCTTAGTACTCCAGAGGGTCATTATATTTTGTGTTAAAGAACTACTATGCTCCTCATTTAAAAGGCCTTATGTTTAAACAAAGTTGTGAGTTACATAAAATTGTGGGGGGGGGGGCTGGATGGAAGAAGTTAAAAAGCTGTAAGTAGGATTTTTTAAATAAGCATAACACAAGATGGTACAAATAGTCCCTGTTTTTTAATAGTAACTAATGACTGGAAACTTTATTGTGAATTAAACTAATAAAAGCAAACCCTTTTCCCTAAAGCAAATCACTTAAAAATTTCTCTATTACATTAGTCAGTGAAGGTTTTCTAGAGGTAGTAAAGTTTGGAATAGAAAAAAAAAAGATTGCAGGCATTCAAATAAGGGGAATAGAAATAAAGACACAGAAGCAGGAATTCAATACTGATACAGGCCTACCACAGGTAGGCATGGAGTTAGGGTCCAAGGACACTAATATCTGTGATTACAGTCCTTTGCCTTAACTCAGCCCAGAGCCTAGCCAGTGACACAACTTTCTAAGAAAGACATGATGATATCAATGTCAAAGTACTTATGATGTACTATTAGAACACAAATGAGAAACGATTCTGCCTGTTTGATTCAGGGAAAATAAAAAGAGGTAATATATTTTAGCTGAATATTGAAGGATGAGTAGGGGTTTGCCCTATGACTAAAGGGGACAGGAAGGGCATTCCCGGCAAATCAAACAGCATGGACAAAGATGTAAAAGTGAATGGTTAAGGGACAGACTTAGATCCAGCAAGGCAAATAGGATACATAGGCACTAGGGAATTAGAACTGAGTTAAAAAGGTAAAATGAGGCAAAATCAGGAAGGACCTTACTCTGTAGGTTACAAGGAGCCATCAGAAGATTTTACAACACACAAAGCATAGTTAGATCTGTCTTTTGAAAAAAACAAAAAACTCGTGGCAGTGTAGAAAATGAATTGGGTAGAGACCAGAGGCTATAGCAAACATTTAAATGAGTATCATTAGTGTCAAAGGCCTAAATGATGTGGATGGCAATGGGAGATGAGAGGACAGATTCCATGGGCATATGTAGATGGAGGGAGAGTGGATGGGAATTTGTAGCTACTTTGATATGTGGATATATAGAGTGTTTCTGACTGATTTAAAAAGATAAGTTATGAATGTTGATGCCATTAAAGAAAGTTCAAAAGAGAGAAGCATAGTTGTCTGTAGATAATCTCTCTATATAAAAGGCTAATATGCAAAGTGCCCCCTCATCAATTTGACCGGGAGTTCGATAGCTCACTATGACATGCGCTGATCACCAGGGGGTGGCATGGAATGAAGGAAGGCTCCAGCTGGCAGCTGGCAGCCAGGGAAGGAAGGCCCTGGCTGGCAGCTGGAAGATCCCGATTGGCCCTGGTTGCCAGCCAGGCCTAGGAACCCTACCCATGTGTGAATTTTGTGCACCAGGCCTCTAGTTAAAATACATTGGTGAATGACCATTAACATCTATCCAGTTACATAAGCCTGACACCTAGGAATCATCCCAGGCTACTCACTTACTAGGTAGTCGTCACTACATCCTAGAGATCCCACTTCTTTCACATCTCTTGAATTCAGCTCAGTTTTATGGTTTCTAGGTCCACTGCTATCACAATCTATCATAACTGAAGTACCCATTTCTCTCCCGGGTTAACAGGCTCTTAAGTGGTGTCCCTGTCTCTATATTGCAGCCCCCATCTAATCTATCCTTTATAGTGCTACCACAATTTTCTTTCTAAAACAAAAATCTGAACATTTTAATTAAATTCCTAATTGAAACCCCTCGAAATGTCTTTCTCCCCCAGTAGCTTGCAGGATACAATTAAAATGTCTTGGTTTAACATAAAAGGCCATTTAAAATTCCAATCATGCCTACTTCTCCTACAACTCTCAACATGTACCCTTTGCTTCTGCCACATGGAATTTATTGAAGTACTTTTAACATGCGATGCTGTTTCAGCCTCCATGACTGTGCACTTGCTATCTGCTCTGAAATGCTCCTTCCTTCCTTCACTCATATAATTAACACCTAGTTCAAACATCAAAGCCTCCAGAAAGTTTGTCCTGACACCCTGATTCACGGGCTGAACTCTTATACTTGTGTGGTACCTTCTATAGCATGTTACCAACCAATACTGTAACTGTAGATAAATCTATTTCACTGATCAGCAAGGTCCCTGCAGCCACTGAATAAGTCTCATTTGATTTTGCAGAATCTTCTCTCCCCACCCCCGTTGGTTAATTCTCACCCAAGGATATTTTTTCATTGACTTCTAAAAAGAGTGTGAGGTAGGGGGAGAGACAGAGATAGAGAAACACTGATGGGAGAGACATATTGATTGATTGCCTCCCAGCAATTGCCTGACCAGGGCTGGGGATTGAGCCTGCAACCCAGTTATGTGCCCTTGACTGGAATCAAACCTGGGACTCTTCAGCCCACAGGCTGATGTTCTATCCACTGAGCCAAACCCACTGGGGTGATTTTTCAGAATCTACACTGAATGGCCAGATTATGATGATCTCTGAACACAATAATCTGGCCACTCAGTGTATATCCTATATAATAAAAGGCTAATATGCAAACTGTCCCCTTGACCAGGAGTTCGACCAACGGGCAGGCCGGCCAACTGCCCACGTCCCCTCCCTCTGGTCAGGTTGGCCGGATCTCACCCATGCACGAATTCATGCACTGGGCCTCTAATTCACACACACACACACACACACACACACACACACACACACACACACACTGAGTGGCCAGATTATTACGATTTCAGATATCATAATAATCTGGCCACTCAGTGTATTAGTGGTGTCTGGCACAGGGACCAAACACCCAGAAAACATTTGTTGAGGGAGTTGTTTTAGACCTATTAATTGATGTGCTTGAAGAACACACACACACACAATGTGTGTGTGTGTGTGTGTGTATTGTTATGTGAAAAGTGTGGCATGCACAATAGGATCTAATTGTTTTTTCTGTTGTTGTTAATTCTCACCTGAAAATACTTTTCTATTGATTTTTAGAGAGAGCAGAAGGGAGAGGGAGAGACAGAGAGAGACAAACATTGATGTGAAAGAGATATATTGCCTCCCCCATGCACTCCAATCAGGGCTGGGGACTAAGCATGCAACCAAGGTATGTGCCCTTGATTGGAATGGAACCCAGGACCATTAAGTCCGTAGGTTGACACTCTATCCAGTGAGCCAAAATGCTAGGGCAAGATCTAATTCTTGTTTTAAAAACATAAAGCTATTGAAAGAAAATTAGAATTATGGAGCTAAAGCCAGTTCAGGATTGTAGACAGTGAGTGAATAAATCAATTGAGAATAGCCAAGGACAGATTCCTGAGAAACAGCAACATTTAAGGGGTTGAAGATAAAGAATCAGAAGGGATATAGAAAAAGAACACAAAGGAAAAACAGAAAGGAGAGAATAGAAAGGAAAAACAGAACCACTGAAAGCTGAGAACTGTATGTTTAAAGTAGGAAAAAAATTCATGTCAAATACTACAGAACCAGTGAAACCCCAGGACAATATTGTTGAGCAGGTGAACATTTAAGTTCTCTTTGTTTATATTACACTTGCCTAGATCAATACACAAGAAGCACAGGGGACAGCTTAGAATAATACTTTATGTTTTAGGTTTAAAATTGGTTATATTTAATCTTCCAATTGAGACCAAATAAAAATCTTTTAGATATTTGAAACTAACTAAAACTATGATAAAGCATTTGTTAAACCAAGAAGATGGAAAAATTAATTACCTCTTATTCAAGTATCCATTATTATTTCTTAAAACATCTAACATGTTTTAGAGGGGATGGGTTTTTGTTTTATTCAAGTTTACATTAGTGGTTTGGTAGCTTGAGTTAATTAATATTCACTGTTTGACAATCTTTGAACATTACACTTTATCATTTACCAATTCTAATAGAAGAAACTCTTCTAACATATCTTAATTTTAATTAAGTGGTATCATGAAATTATAATTTCTGATAAATAAGATACTTAAAAAACCAAAAAGTTGAAAGAAAACAATAAGGTACTTTATGGAAAACAAATCAAATAATAGTATTTAACAATAGTAACTATAAAATAACAAGCATACCCCTGTATCTGTATCAGATTTTGATGAATTTAGACTTTCCTGAGAAGGTGATGGGGATACACGTCCTGAAAAACAACATAATTGTAAAATGGCATGTACATATACACATGCATGAGTACACATACACACACACAATCAGAAATAATGACACAGGAACACCTAGTTAAAAGTCATAGAATGTAACATTCTAGAAAACTACATGCGAAGCATTAACTCTTTGGGCACCAAAATATTTGTTTTGATTATCTTTACATAAAATCTTTATTAAATAGTTCTCCAATTTAATAATGTACTGTTAAATTCTCATTATTTATAGTGAATACATTCTTGTCAATCATAACAAGCAATAAGATGAACAATTAAGGGGCAGAAAGGATCTAGGTTGGGGTACATTTGAAGGGCCACTGAAAATAGACATTTTGTTCCAGGCAGGGCAATAAAAGAAATAAATAGTAAACATTATTTACTATATTGTCAACTCATTATCATCTTCAATTATGTAATATAACAAATGCATAATTGAGATAACAGAAAGGAGAGCATATATACAGGGCTCCTAAAATATACAGGGCCTTGCTTCCCAGTTTAGTGGATCTTCCTAGATTTCTATATTCTCCTTTCTGTTTTCCAGCTTTGGGATGGGAAAGTGGTGTAGGGAGGGAGGGGTTTGCGGGGAAAATTTATTGCAGTTAAATAATTATAAGAAAAGAATCCCCCAAATCAAAGTTCCTATTTACATCAACTTCACATACTTTTCCTGATAACTTACTATGATACATAAATATTGTAATCCATTTTACTTTTTTCACATACCCTTTGATGAAATGAAAAATCACATTTACTTTCTATATGTTTCTTTACCATTATTTACTGGTTGTATATATAATTCTAATTCTTCTAGATAAATCAGAATTTCACTTTAACCTTGGATAAAAATGAAGATTGCCATGGGAAACCAAATGACTTTGTCCTCATTTGATTTCCCTTGGAAAGTCAAAAGCTTCATGGTAGCTTTTTTCACTGAATTTAGAAGTTTGTTTTTCCATTTTTCCTATAGACTTCTGTTTTACTTTTAGGTTTGTGGCTGAGAGTAGTGGTCGCTGCAAATGACTGCCAGAAAAAAAGGCATTATAATGCCAAAATGTAAAAATGCCAGGTGTCTTTGGATTTTTTAAAGCCCACAAAAAGTGAAAAATACCTTCAGTATTGTATTTCATTCGCATATTGTTGAAATAGTCAAAAGCATTTTTTAAAGCCCATATTCTCACTACATTATCTTGTCCAGCTGAGGCAAGTAATCGGCCACAGTGAGAGAATTTCATGGTCCAAACAGCTCCCTATGTAAACAATGAATGGAAGGTTCAAAGTTATTTTAAAAATTGAAACATTAAAAAATCATGCCAAATTATATATAATACTACATTACTAATACCACTTATAGCCAAGAGTACAATGGTGCTACAATACCACAAAGAGCTACTTTTCTAAGAAAGGCAAGATAATATAGTTGTAGTTTGCCATAAAGTAAACTAACAATTTCAAAATCTCAAACCATGTCCATATATTAATGGAAATGGGAGTTCTGAGGTGGCTGGAAATCTTCAATGTAAACCATGAATCTTAGTTTTGTATCTGTTTCTAGCTGACCATAAGGAGGAATAGGTTAGGAGGGAGCAGGGCCTTCAGCATAGTGCTAACAACTAACTAGGGCTAAGGGAAGAATATGCCCACCTTAGCAATGACGGTCATTTTATTGGGCATTTGAAGAAATGTTGGAATTGTGTGATTTCCTCCTGCTTTTCTCCCGAGAAATAAGGTTTTACAGTATATGGCTAGAATTCCCCAATAGATAGTGAAAACAGTGGGGAAGTGTGTGTGTGTGTGTGTGTGTGTGTGTGTGTGTGTGTGTGTGTGTGTTGTTGGGGAAGGGTTAAAGAGTGTAAGCCCTTAAATTGGAAAGGCTAAAACCTACTACAACAAATACTGTTATATCTACTATTACAACAAACAACTATGCAGATTAAAAGATTATCCAAGTTAGAGGCACCAGCCCATTTACTGGAATAGAATTCATTTCTACAAAATTCAAGTATGTTAAGAAATTTGTTACTTGGAGCTTATGCCTATGAGTTTTTAATTAAAACTATAAATAATGAGTCAATACAGAAGGAAACTCATTAAATGCCTTAAGGAAGTTTCTATAGTCAACTCAAATATTTTATATTTAAATTATAAACACCAAAGTTTAAATTCCAATCTGACTGCCTTCTGATATATGTTTGTGGTTGCTTCCTTCCAGTTAGTCCAAACTTTATATTATTATATTATATAATGATCTCCAGATCTAAATAGATCTGGAGATTATTAGGCTAAGTAAAATGAGCCAATTGGTGAAAGACAAATATATGATCTCACTTATGCATGGAATCTAATGAACCAAATAAACTGATCAACAAAACAGAAACAGATGCATGGATACATGGAATAGATTGATAGTTGTCAGAGGGGAGGGGAGAGATGTCCTTGATAAAAGAAAGTGATTAGTCAAAGAACATAAATGTATAACCCACTGATGCAGACAACACTGTAGTGATAGTCAGAGGGAAGGGGGCAAAGTGGGGGGGGAGGAATGGTAATGAAGTAAAAAATCTAAATAGATAAATGCATTCCCTGATCAAGGACCCACACAGTATCATTTACCTAGTTTTGAGGTCCTTACTTCCTTCTCCATATTCCTAGCATTTTCAGAGGCAATATAATTTGTGTACTTTATATCTACTTTGGTACATTTTAACTATGATAGAGAACTTGTACAGCCAACTCTCTCCGGGTTTTAGCTGTCACACTACAAAATATATTGAGATTTAGAAAAAGTTGTGTAAATTATCTATCTATATATAAAAGGCTAAGTGACCATCGCATCTGAAACAACCGAAGAGGCAACCAAACAGGCTGTGTTGGGTGACCAGGCCAGCAGGGGGGTTAGTGAGGGATGTCCAAATGACTGAGCAGCAGGCTGCATGGGGCGACCAAGCCAATAGGGGGGTTAGTGAGGAGCGACCAAATGATCAAACAGTAGGCTGTGTGGGGCGACCAGGCCCACGTGGAGAGAGGAGAGGGGGAGGGCAGTTGGGGGTGACCAAGCCAGCAAGTGGGGCAGTGAGGGGTGACCAAATGACTGAGCAGCAGGCTGTGTGGGGTGTCCAGGCTGACAAGGGGTTAGTGAGGGGTGACTAAATGACTTGAGCAGCAGGCTGTACGGGGCTACCAGGCCCATGGGGGGTTAGCTGGGGACAACCAGATTGGCGGGAAGGAGGCAGTGAGGGGCAATCAGGCCTGGGGGGAAGCTGGGGGTGACCAGGCTGGCGGGGGGGGGGGGACACTAAGGGCAGTTAGGGGCGATCAGGCAAGCAGGTCAACTGAGCAGTTAGGAGCCAATGGTCATGGATTATGAAAGAGATGTCCGACTGCCAGTTTAGGTTCAATCCACAGGAATCCCCCAAGGGGTCCAGGATTGGGGAGGATGTAGGCTGGGCTGAGGCCACCCCCCCTCTTCCTGTGCACCAGGCCTTTAGTATAAAATTTAATGGGGAATATTTTAAATATTTTTCAAAGTGATAGACTATCTTCTAATTTAACTGTTTTAAGGTTTGGTACTTTTATATAGCTTTCTTAATAATATAGGACTAGTGTTTATTTAATTCAACTAGAAGCCTGGTGCACAAAATTTGTGCATGGGGGCCGGAGGGGGGCGTTGTCCCTCAGCCCAGCCTGCACTCTCTTCAATCTGGGACATCCCTCTCACAATGAAGGACTGCTGGCTCCCAACTGTTTGCCTGCCTGCCTTCCTGATTGCCCCTAACTGCTTCTGCCTGTCAGCCTGATTACCCCCTAACCACTCCCATGCCAGCCTGATTGATGTCTAACTGCTCCCCTGCCAGCCCGTTTGCCCCCAACTTCCCTCCTCTGCCAGCCTGATCACTCCTAACTGCCCTCCCCTGCAGGCTTGATGGCTTTCAACTGCCCTCCCTTGCAGGCCTGGTCCCTCACAACTGCCCTCCCATGCAGGCCTGGTCCCTCATAACTGCCCTCCCCTACTTGCCTGATCACCCACAACTGCCCTCCCTTGCAAGCCTGGTCCCTCCCAACTGACCTTCCCTGCTGGCCATCTTGTGGTGGCCATCTTGTGTCCACATGGGGGAAGGATCTTTGACCACATTGGGGCAGCCATCTTGTGTGTTGGAGTGATGGTCAATTTGCATATTACTCTTTTATTATCTAGGATAAAGGCCTGGTGCACAGGTGGGGGCCAGCTGGTTTGCCCTGAAGGGTGTCTTGGATCAGGGTTGGGGTTCCCTTGGGCCACCCTATGCCCTGAGCGAGGGGCCTGGGGTCATTTGCAGGCTGGCCACACACCCCAGCTACCCAAGTGGAGGCCCTGGTATCTGAGATATATTTACTTTCTACAATTGAAACTTTGTAGCCTGGAATGGAGCCAAGCCTCCTGCTTGCTCTGTGGTGGCAGCCTTTTCTTTCTGGATTTGTTTACCTTCTATATTTGAAACTTGGTAGCCTTGAGTGGAGAGTTAGGCCATCAAGGGCAGGTGGAAAGCTTGGCTTCCTCCATTGATGGGGAAACGCCTCCCTCCTTCTCTCTGTGGTTGTAGCCATCTTGGTTGGGTTTATTTGCATACTTGCTTTGATTGGCTGGTGGGCATGGCTTATGGGCATGGCATGTGGTGTGGCGTGATGGTTAATTTGCATATCACTCTTTTATTAGGTAGGATAATGTACTTCTTGAAAAATAATTGAGAGATAGACTGTATTAAATTGTATTAATATCAATTCAGTCTTCTTGAGTAAAAATAGCAAAATTGCATACATAAGAATAGATCTGCTATTTAAAAGCTGAAGTATTTCCATGAAGAGAATCAATAATGAAAAATAAAAAAAGTCGCTTACCATATGTTCACCACTAAGATCTTGTACTACTTTTATTTGATCAAAATCATAAGGTCCTTTGAAACCATGTGCTGCTTTGAATTTGACTGGTCTTGTGTATGGCATTCCTTCATCATCACTTGATGAAGGATCATCTTGATCAGTATGAAACACTAAATAGAAAAGCAACAGAAACCATCACTAGCTATGTAGATATAACTATTATTATATTTCATATCATTGCTTACCAATAAAATTCATTAAATGGAGAAGCAAAATCTGTCTATTACTAAATAGCATCTTGCCTAATGGTATACATGGAGTCTAGTGCCAGATTGCCTAGGTCTAAATCCAACTCTGTAACTTATTATCTGTGTGACCTTAGGCAAGGTACACAACTTTTCTGTGCTTCAGTATTCTCATATATAAAATGGGGATACTAGTGGTACGTACTTCAAAGGGTTTTGATGAGGGTTAAATGTGCTAATACAGGTGAAAGTGCTTAGAACAGTGTCTGGCACAGAATAAGTGTTTATTATATAAAAAAAATAGTATAATTATGAGAAGGGCATAGGAAGTTAAGATCTGCACAAAATTAGAAAATTTAAATAAATTTGAAATGCTTATAAAAACTAAATATCCTTACATAGCCAACTTACATCTGATTCTTAAAATGTTCTACTTCACTTACCTTCATCTCTAACACTTTTAACTTTATTTACAGCACGTTCACCATATTCTTCAGCAAGGTGCTTTGCTCTCTTCACTGATTTTCCTAGGAACTTCTTTAGTTGAGTCCTTAACAAACAAACAAACAAAATTATTTATTAATTCAGCCAATTATAAAAGTTCAATAGCTGTGACAAGTAAAGCATATTATTTTGAAGAAGCTCTATTTTTTTTTTTTTACATAAATAGGTCTTTGAGTTCCTAAATCCCTTGTTACAATACTGTGGAGGACAGGTTCAAGCCTTGGACTAATGAGAGGGCACATGCAAGTCCCAGCTTGGAGGGCAGAACCCTCATAGCACAATTATAGCCAACAGCTATAGTTGTAAGCTTGAACCTATGGTCCAAACATGTGGCTCAATGTGCCTGAGTGATGTGGGCTTGATAGAGTTCAGATGCATTTAATCAAGTAGGATCAAAACTCATGAGAATGTTGTGAACATATTGACCATGCCCTTACTTTGCCTTGTGGCATCTGGCTATAAAATAAAAACATGGCTTGTAGTCTGTGATGCTGTCACTAGCTCTCTATCAGAGAGGCTCTCCACCAGAGAAGACAGTGTCCTGAGACCCAGCTTTTGTTCTCTTGTCTGTCTTGTCTCAATCCTTCACTGCCCCCACTCAGGTTCACCCCTAACTGTGCTGGCGCAGCACAGAATACAGGGTGGGGCAAAAGTAGGTTTAAACTTGTGCTTATGGAAAATAATATAATAATTAATAATACAAGCATAAACTTTGTGTTTCCTGTACTCACAAATGCAAAACTACTTTGGCCCATCCTGTTTATTCAAGTTAATATAGCTACAAAAGAAATATGGGCACTTCCCCCCAATATACAATACTAGAGGCACGATGCACGAAATTCATACACGGGGGTGGGGAGGGGGAAATTCTCAGCCTGGCCTGCAATGATGCCAGCATCCTGCACCCAGCCAGCCTCTGGCCAGAAGCCCACCCTCACGCCTGCCCTCCCTCCCTCTGCAGGCTGGGGTGCAAGGGACACTGTGGCTCGTGGCAAGGGCGACACTGTCCCAGTGTCCTGTGCCCTGCCTGGCCTCTGGCCAGAGGCCTGCCCGCCCTCCCTTCCTCCCTCTGTGGAAAGGGGTGCACAGGATGCTGGGGCTTGTCACCAGGGTGAGGCCACCAGCATCCAGCACCCAGGCTGCTATGGGCACCACCAATTTTGTGATGGGAGTGATGGTTAATTTGCATATTACCATTTTATTAGATAGGATTGTATACTCTAGAGCAGGGTGGGGGGACTTATTTTCTGCCAAGGACCATTTGGATATTTATAAAATCATTCAAGGGCCATACAAAATTATCAACTTAAAAATTAGCCTGCTATATTTGATCAAACATTTAATTAACTCACCCTTAATGCCTCAGCATTTGTGGGCCTTGTATGGACCTTGCGCTGGGTTTCCCCACTCCTGCTCTAAAGCATAAGTCTTCGATGGTGAATTATAATAAGTTGGTGAATATGGGGGTGTTCAAAGCACAGACACCTGTTCCCCATTTCCAGATAATCTTATTTGGAGGGTACAGGATGATACCATAAATATGCAGTGAGAATTGCTCTGAGAAGACTGCCTTTGATAGCCATCCTGAAAAACACACTTTACCAGAAAAAGAAACTAAAGATGTATTTAATTACAAAATAGAATGCTTTGATAGCTTAAGATGGCCTCTTGTCTCTTCTCTTTCAGTTTGGGTATTTGCATACAATCCAGTTAGACAGAGCTTTCCCAGTAAGGTATTCCCAAACAGTGTAATGTAAATATGCATTTCAAGCTTCCATAAATAGGACTTACTTATTTTTTAAGTTATCTACATCTCAAATTTCATATATCCTATATAATAGAGAGGAAATATGCTAATTGACCATGATGCCTTCACAAGATGGTGGCGTCCACAGCCAATAAAGGGGGAATATGTTAATTGACTGTCATGCCCTCGCAAAATGGCGGCCCACACAGCCATAAGATGGCAGCATCCAGTAACCTCATCTCCGCCTCATCCAGCTGGAGTCTCTCAGTCCCCTCAGCCCCATCTCATCCAGTCCCCGCAGCATCCAGCCTCAGTCTCCTAGTCCCCTTAGCCCTGCAGGGAAAGGCAGTTGGGGGAAGATCGGCCAGCAGGGGAGGGCAATTGGGGATAATCAGGCTGCCAGGGGAGCAGTTAGGGGGCTATTAGGCTGGCAGGCAGGTGAGTGGTTAGGAGCCAGCAGTCCCAGATTGTGAGAGGGATGTCTGACTGCCAATTTAGGAGAAGGTGCAGGCTGTGCTGAGGGACACCCCTCCTCCATGCATGAATTTAATGCCCCAGGCCTCTAGTTAAGATTATACAAAAACAACAAAGTAAAGCATATATTTACAAACAAAACACAATTTATAAATTTGAGGTTAATTTTTACCAATTCATGGGAGCACATGATATTAAGGACAGAATTTTAAAAACTTGCTAAGCCATATATATATATATATATATATATATATATATATATATATATATATATATATATATATATATATATATATAAAGATGTCCACTGCAGCATTGCTTAGAATAGGTTAAAAAGTAGAGTTAAACTGAATTCTCAACAGAGGAATTATTAAATAAGTGACTGTATATCCTTACAATGGAATGCAATAAGATAAATAAGGCAATCCTCAGTTTTTTAAATGCACTGAGCTCTTAGTCACCTCAGAGCCTTTGCATGTGTGGTTATTTCTGCCCAGAACATCCCTACCCTAATTTCTACTCTTCGTTAAGTCTCAGATCAAACAGCCCTCTCTCAAAAAAACTATTCTTGACACTTTAGAACAGGCTTTCCTATAGTCCCACAGTATCCCTTACATTTCTTTTAAAGCAATTACTATAGATTTATCTGTGTAATTACATGTTCACTGTCTTTCTCCTATTGAACTGGAAGCCCTATGAGGGCAGAGATTAAGATTGTCATCTTACTATGGTATCATTAGCACCAAACCCTCATATCTGGCTGAAAGATTATAATATATGTACTTTTGGTATTGATATGAAAAGATGTCCATTATATACTAGATTTTTTTTAAAAAGCAAGTTATTTTGACCCAGCAAGCCCACTTCTAGAAATATATCCTAAGAATCCTGAAACACAAATAAAAAAGAGTATATGTGCCCATATACAGCAGCATTATTTATATTAGCCAAGATGTGGAAACAGCCCAAGTGCCCATCAGTAGATGAGTGGATTAAAAAAGCTGTGGTACATTTACACAATGGAATACTACCCAGCTATAAAAAACAAAAACAAAAAAGAACTTATACCCTTTACAACAGCATGAATGGATCTGGAGAGTATTATGCTAAGTGAAATAAACCAGTCAGAAAAAGACAAATATATATGATCTCATTAATATGTAGAATTTAATGAACAAAATGGAAAAAAAGCATGTTGACAAACTATAGGGACAATATAATCCCACTTTTGTGAGAAAAATAATTCCATGGAGAATACACCTAATTGATAATATTGAGAATTTCTAGGGTGAGCATGGGACACTAATTTTCTATAATACAGATTTTTTTATTACCTTTGGTAATCAGAAAACACACATAATAAATATTTGTTGTTTTTATCTCATCCAAGGATATATTTCCTTTGACTTTTTTAGAGAAAGTAGAAGGATGGAGGGAAGAAAGGAGGGAGGATAGAAAGAAGGGGAGGGAGATGGAAAGACACACACACACATACACACACACACACACACACACACACACACACATTGGTTGCCTCCTGTACATGCCTCAACTGGGGCAGGGATCAAACCTGCAACCCACGTATGCACCCTGACAGAGAATTGAATTCAAGACCTTTTGGTGCCTGGAATGATGCTCTAACCACTGAGCAATAAATCATTTAAAAAATTATAAGGTCTACTAGAGGCCTGGTGCATGAAATCTGTGCACGGGGTGGTGTCCCTCAGCCCAGCCTGCACCCTCTCCAATCTGGGACCCCTCTCACAATCCAGAACTGCTGGCTCCCAACTGCTTAACTGTCTGCCTTTCTAATTGTTCCTAACTGCTTCTGCGTACCATCCTGTTCACCCCCTAACCCCTGCCAGCCTGATTGATGTCTAACTGCTCCCCTGCCAGTCTGTTTGCCCCCAACTTCCCTCCTCTGCTGGCCTGGTCACCCCTGACTGCCCTCCCCTGCTGACCATCTTGAGTCCACATGGGGGCAGGATCTTTGACCACATGGAGGCAACCATCTTGTGTGTTGGAGTGATGGTCAATCTGCATATTATTCTTTTATTAAATAGAATAGAGGCCTAGTGCATGGGTGGGGGCCAGCTGGTTTGCCCTGATAGGGGTCCTGGATCAGGACAGGGGGTTCCCTGGGGGCATGGGTTGGCCTGGGTGAGGGGCCTATGGTGGTTTGCAGGTCAGCCAAGCCCCCCAGCAACTCAAGCGCAGGTCCTGGTATCTGGAATTTATGTATCTTCTACAATTGAAACTTTGTAGCATGAAGTGGAGCCAAGCCTTCTGCTCACTCCATGGTGGCAGCCATTTCTGTTGGGACTTATTTGTCTTCTATAATTGAAACTTTGTAGCCTTAAACAGAGGCCTGGGCTGGCCAGGGTGTGTGGAAAGCTTGGCTTCCTCCATCGCCGGGGAAACCTAAGCCTCCCTCCTGCTCTCTCTGTGGCCACAGCCATCTTGGTTGGGTTAATTTGCATACTCAGTCCTGTTTGACTAATGGGCATGGTTCGTGGGTGTAGCGGAGTGATGGCTAATTTGCATATTACTCTTTTATTAGAAAAGATGGTCCTATAATTCTGAAGTCATATTTTCTGCATAACTATAACTATAGGTTTATTACTACTTTAAACAAGAAAACAGATCATTTAAACACTGGTGAGAACATCTCTAAAATATATGTTTTTCAACCTTCTTCAATGGAGTTTAATGTTCCATATGTTTCTTTCCTTAATAAATAGAATCAGTTACCATTATTACTGTTCTTTGATATATTTAGGGCCTTTTAAATGGTTTGCAAGTGGGCCATAATATTAGTTTCAAACCTTGAAGATAACAGCACAGAGCACAGGGAAGACAGACAGAATCTGGACCCATCTCTTCTGAATATCAGTTTACTCTAGCATTCAGTGCAAATATTTCCATATTGTATGGGTATCATAACATTAGAAAAAGTTGAAACACTATTATACGAAATGTTTGTGTTATGTAAGAGTCCTTTTATTATTTTTCTGATTTTTCTCTTATAATCAGAATATTATCAGACATCCTTATGTATTGAATTATAGGTTGTCAAAATTTGGTGCTTTTATTCTGTTGTAAACTCACATGCCAGATGACCAGATATTTAGAAATTATATAAGAAGTATAATGGCTTTTAAAAATAAGAGGTTTTTTCTTTTAGAAAAATGATGAGCTTTAATGCATGGAATAAAAAATAGCTTTCCTAGATATTTATCTACTGAATAATTCCTAATTCTCCGGTTCCTAATAGTTGTCATTGCTAGATAGTCAAGGTCCAGATATCTGAAGGTGTTAGCATAGACCTGCATTTTCCAAAAATTCTCAAAGCTTTATTTTGCTACACTTTCCACATTAGGAAAAGATGAGATTCGAATGGAGAATTTGCTTTGGGACTGAATTATTTTATATTTACATTTATTTTATATTTTAGACTGAATTACTACCAATTATGTATTTTGGGTATTCTAGCACAATCTATATGCTCATCATTGTGTTAGGTTCCTATAGGGGAAACATAAGAATGGCATGATCACAATCTTTTTGTAACATATGGTTTAGTTTTTAATATCTATTTACCTCATTGTTTTTTAAATCACAAAAAAGTTTAAGTTAACATTAAAATAAAGGGCAAACATAAGTTATAGAGACTATAGTATCACTGAAATTGAGAAAAGAAAGGAATTTTCTACAAACTGAAGGAAGTTGGGAAGAATCTCAGGTAGTTGTGTTTAGAAAGACAAAGAGGATTTGCCTAGATAAAGAGAAAAGAAAACTTCAAGGACAATAGAGTTCAATTAACACTTCTGGTATCTACTGGCTGAAAAATTAATATAGGCACGATGCAAAATTTATTGATCATTTACTACATATTGGATACTCTATGACCAGCACAGCCTCAAAATACCTTATAATCTATTGGCTGGCAGCAGGGAGTGGTGGTGGTAGATGGACTTATAAATTGGACAGAGCACACATTTAAAATAGTATAATAGTTCTCATATTTTTTGTAAAACAAAAGCTTGAAATGAAGAAAAGGGATGTACTATAACTCACGTTTTCTGCTTTAACCTTCCACCATCAGTATCTGTTGGATGAGATTGTAATTTATCTTCATCATCTGACTGTGCGGCATCATTACTGCAAGGGGAAGAAGTAATTTTAAAAGAAGCCATTTCCCTAACATGTCTAAAAAATTTCTCAATATATACTTACTGTATAATTAATCAGAGTAAAATAAAACTTTGTTAAAATGCTTTATATAAACTTAATTTAAATGATGACTATGACAATTTAAAGACTTGAAAGATCAAAGAAGACAATCTTTAAGCAAGGTGCAATGTACAAAATGCAAATGAATGCAGTTTAAGAACTTAATAAAAACCCAAAGCAAATAAGGCTTTCTGCTGGGCAAAACATGGTACCCAGAAATGATAAATTAACTTGTAAATATCTTCCTCCTCACTCAACAGGCACATCATGTATTGTACTTTAAAAGGCTTTGCTTTCATGAAAATGATTCTTCAGATCAGGAATGGGGAACCTTTTGTTCTGCCAGGGGCCATTTAGATATTTATAACATCACTAGCGGGCCATATAAAATAATGTATTTAAAAATTAGCCTGCTATATTTGATCAAACATTTAATTAACTCACCCTTCACAGGCCAGATCAAATGATTTTGCAGGCCTTATATGGTCAGTGGGCCATAAGTTCCCAACTCCCACCTTAGATCTACATATAATATAACCCGCAGTAAAGTCAATTACCATACTCTAAAGCCATTTTCTGCCCTCTAAATTATATATAAAATCTCTAATTCTTAAGAAAGGTTTCAGAAGAACAGCATGACTGTTTAGCCTAAATATGTCTTAATACTATCTTTAGTATAATATAATTTTAAAAGAGAGACCAAATATTATGGGATTGAAGATATATACTCTTTTCTCCTAATAACTGTGCAGTCCTAAGGGAGAACAAAACTTAAGAATATATACATTAACTATTTAATTTCAAATTTAAAAAAGGCTGAATGAAACCAAATTAGGGATTATCATAGCTCATAAACAGAGAGATCTTCACCACTCTAAATGAAATATTACACATAATAAATAATATTAAATCATACCTTACATATTCCTTAGTCCTTCTCATGATGTGTAGAGTGAGAGGATTAATACCTGTTGGCAGTTTCTCTTCTGCAAGACTCAAAGGTATTTCTTCTCCAGTATCCAGGTTCTTAATCATTACACTGGCTAAAATTTCCTGAAGTATAATATAACACCAAGAGAACCTATAATTTATTGACTCTTTTTGAGTCAATAAAATCCTCAAAATTTTAAGCTAAGGACTTTCTCAATACATTCAGTACTGTGTACAATAATTTTTAACATTTTTAGTGAGATACAATTCATACACTGCAAAATGCACACAGTTAAAGCATACATAGTTAAGTGATTTTGAGTATATTCACAGAGTTGTGCAACCATCACCATTATCTAAGTTCAGAACATTTCTACTACCCCCAAAAGAAATCACATACCCATTTGCTTTCCTATCTTATTCCCCCTCTCTTTCCAGTCTCTGGCCATCACTAATCTACTTTTTGTGTCTATGAATTTGTTTATGCTGGGCATTTCAAATAAATTTGATCATATAGTATGCGGTCTTTTGTGACTGGATTCTTTTACTTAGCTCTATGGTTTCAAGGTTCATCCATGTTATAATCACATATCAGAACATAATTCCTTTTCATTGCTGAAAAATAGTCCATGTGAATGGATATATCACATTTTATTTACCCATCCATCAGTGATGGGCGTTTGTGTTGTTTCCACACTTTGGCTATTATGAACACTTGTGTATTTACACAGACATGTGTTTTCATTTCTCTTTAGAATATATGTTGGAGAATTTCTACATCATGTAACTCGATGTTTTATTCTTTGAAAAACTGTCAAACTATTTTCCAAAGTACAATAAGTTTTTTAAATGTTGTTTACAAGAAACAAAAAACTAAGATTTTGCTTTAAAACTTCATTCTGAATAAAATGGCCAATAGATATATACTGAATTTTAGTGGTAAGAAGTATTGACTACACTACATCATCTAACAAGCATGAAAACAATATACATACCTATAATGTCAATTTCTTTTTAAGCCCACTTTCTATAAAATATAGGCCTTGCTTTCAATATATTTATTCCACCATATAATTGTCAAAGGGCAAGTTTAAGTCAGAGTTTTCAACATATTAAGAAAACAAAACCTAAGATAATCTTCACTTTCATGTTTTCTTCTACACTATGATTTTTTGGCCTAATAACAATAAACAAAAAATTTTAATCATAGTAAAATATACATGATATACAATTTATCATCTTAACAATTTTAATTGTATAGTTCAGCAGCAGTATGTTCACATTGCTATGCAACTTTAATCACCATTCATCTCCAGAACTTTTTCACCTTCCCATTATCATTTTTGTATTTTATGTTTTTAAGAACAAAAAAATATATAATTATACCTCATCAGTAAGCTCTCTCCCAGAGTTGGATCTAGGTCTCTGAGGGCCCATCACTTCACCTGCTATTGTCTGCCCATCAAGTGCTTTTCCATTTTCCTGAAATTATAATTTCATAAACAGAAAGTAGACTGAGTCAATTTTTATCAATATTCAATTACTCATTACCACACACATTTCTAAAAAAAAATCTGTAATTCAGATAATGGAGCCTACTGAAAATGTAAATGGAATACTCCATTTCAGCCCTTTATTACTCTCAGAATCTGAAAAACATTAGGTACCCAAACTATTGCTGTCCATGCAATAATGTCTTAGTCTTGAAGCAAAGAAATGTTCTATTTGAACCTGATCCCAAAGCAGCTCTCTATAGCAGAGTGCTAGCACAAAGATTGCCATTGTTCAGGAATAGATTTATATATAACTCTTTCTGTAAAGAGCTAGTTAATAAATGTTTTAGGTTTTTTGCTTCACACATAGTACCCGTCACATATTAGTTTTTATAAACATCCTTGAAAAAGTAAAACCTGGGGACCCTACAAAACTGGCCACTGCTAACCATTGCTCTACAGCTATGAAAGGCTATATATTGTCTTATCTCCCAGTTTGCTAACCTGCCCCAATCACAGCTACTACACAAGTAAGCCTTGAGCCCAAGAATTTGGCTGTGGTAAAATTCATGTTATCAAGTCCTTTCCATTGTTTCCTATGTAGATATACATAGCATAGTGTATGAAGTTTGTTTTCATGATTAGGAAGAAATTATAAAAAATAAAAGTCCTCAATTTTATCTACTACAGTTCAGGTAAATGAAGATTGTAGTTTGTGTTTATTAATATCAATAATATTACACATAGCAGCATCTGTCATTTTTTGAATGCCTGCTACATGGCCAGGTACTTGGTATACTTTATTTATTTCATCCTTGCAAGAAACCTTCAAGGAAGGTTTCCCTTCATTTTATCAATGAGGCATCTGAGACTCAGGTGTTAAATAGCTTCCTAAAGTTACCCAACTACTTAGTAGCAGAGCTGGTCAAGGGATGTAAGGAGTCCAGGTTTTGGGGATAAGAAAATATCTGGCCTGGAGAAGAAAGTTTGATAATCAACAAACCAGCAAGTTTCAAAGCCTATATAAAATATAACATGAATTTACCAACCTGGGCAGTAACTATTTTATCTCCACTGGTAGCACTTGCCAAATCAAGAGAAGGCTGAGAATCCTTGACTGTACTCTCTGAAGCCATGCTTGTAGTCAGAGTATCAGATGTAATATTGTCTTTGGGAACTGTAATAATAATAATAATAATAATAATAATATTTATATAGGACTTTATACAGTACTTGAAAAGTGCTTTAACTTCTATTTGTCTGATTCCTATGATAACCCTGTGACAAAAGTGGTTTTATTACTCTCAATTTAAATATATGGGAAGACTAGGATTCAAACAAGTTATTTGAATTCCTCAAGGCTATACAACTTATACATTAAGAGATCCAGTGCTCAAAAATTTTAATTTAGAAAGTAAAAAATAAAAAAAGCGATATAGGACTTAAATCTTAACTCTCAAATACCATATTCTTTTCACCACACCACACTGGCTCTCCAAAGATAAGATTTGGAAGTTTAAAATCTGCTGAAATGTTCAATTATAATAATGCAACTAATCACCAATATAAATATTTTCACTTTTAATTACTAAAATAATTTTTACAACTTGGTCATCAATGTAGTTTACATAACATAAACTAAAACAAAGTAACAAATTTAAACAAGTTCAACTCAAAAATATCCTCACAAAAGTACTTATTTCTCAATTAATACTTGCCATCCAGATCGGGTGTTTTAAGAGCCTCAAACTCCAATTCACTTTTCTTTTTTCTTGGTGGTGGAGCAGGTCGAGATGGAGGTGGTGGTCTAGGAGGTGGGAAATTAGTTGGAGGGGGTGGGCGCGCTGGAACAGGCTTTTTTGTACTAGCCACTATATCAGGTTCTGGAGTAAGCTGTCTTGGGGGTTTGGCAGGAGCCAATTCTTCCACAGTAGCAAAATCTTTAGCAGATGAGGAGCTTGAGGATGCAGATTCTAGAACATCACTTCCTTTGATTTCCACTGCTTCCTTGGTCAATACTTCTGTTTCAGTTACAGGCACATTAAGCTGCTCAGTTGAACTTATTTCAGTTAACTTAGTGGTTTCATCTACTGGCTTCTCACAGGTGTCATTGGAAGGAAAACATTTTTTTGGTTCTAATTCAGTTTCTTCAGATGTATTCTGACTCTCTGCCCTTTTGGAATGTTCCTGTAGGACTAGACTTGTGGCTAACAGTCCAGGTACATTAAGATCTGTTTCAGCAATAAGAGGACTGGCAGTAGCCTGATCAGACTGTCCTTTTCCTTTGGAATCCAAAGAGTCATCGTCAAGCTGAAGTACTTTCTGAGTCTCCTCAATAATACTTTCAATAATCTGATCAAAAGTTAAAAAGCAATTTTTAAAAAATGAAGCCATTTATAAGAACATAGTAACAGTTAGTCATTTATATATGCTCACTATGTGTCAGACAATGCTATCATCATATACAAATGAGGGAGCTAAGGTAGAAAGGAACAAAATGTTTTGTCCTAGGTCACAAAGCTTGTAAGGGACAAAGCTGGCACAAAACTAGGGAGTTTGGCTCAAGAATCTGCATTCTTAAACATTATAGTAGGGAATCTGGTCTAGTACATGCAACCACAAAAGCTTAGTCAACACTGTATAATAAAGTTGAAACATAAATTTACATTTAGACTCTTCATGTCATAGTTCATTTATATATTTATTCCAAGATAGTTGTAGTAACAGCCCTATTTGAGCCTAGTTAACAAAATCATGAGAAGCAAAACCACCTAATACAAGAATTCAAATTGTTTAGCTCAAGCCTATGACAGGAAAAGCCAGCAGATACAAAGATATTAATATTCTTAAACAGAATATACATAATACCCAATATTCAGAGGGATGCAAGGACCATGAAATAAGTTCAAACAGCATTGGCTGATATGGTTCAGTTGGGTTAGCGTTATCCCATGCATTGAGAGGTCACTGGTTCAATACCCGGTAAGGGTGCATACAGAAGGCAACCAATTGAATGTCTGTCTCCCTCCCTCCCTCCCACCTTCTCTCTAAAATTAATAAAAATACTTTTAAAAGAGTTCAAACAGCCACCTCACTATGCATTTTCCCCACTTTATTTCTTTAAAAATATATATATATTTTCATTGATTTCAAAGAGGAAGGGAGAGATGGAAACATCAATGATGAGAGAAAATCATTGATCGGCTGCCTACTGCATACACTTTACTGGGGATTGAGCCCTGGCAGAAATTGAACCATGACCTCCTGGTTCATAGGTCGATTCTCAACCACAGAGCCACACCAGCTGGGCATCCCCCTTTATTTCTTCTCTACAGCTAAAAAGTACAGAGTGTCTTTCTATGTATTCTATCAACATTTAGAAGAAAATATATTTCTACCCAGCCCTGTCATTATTGACATTAAATGTCCCTACTCACTTACCTTTCCACCATGTCCAATCATGGATGACTTCTGCTTTCTCAATTCATGGGCTCCAGAAAGCTAACAGAACATGGTACATACTAATTTGAACTGCATGTTATTGCTATTGAACAATATTCCTGATTTCTCAGCATCTCCCATATATTTCTTTTTCTCAACCTACAAATGTTTAATACTAGACAGAAATCACTTTGACCAGAGGAATAGTAATTAGAGTCCACCTAATTGGTTACTGAGCACTGAGTGACTCAGTCTTAACAGAAGCTGGATTCATGTCAGTTTAAGAATGAATAACAAGTAAAGACATAGAGATAGGCCAGCATAGTCTACCATTTCAAAAATTTGTCTATAAATGGGAGAGGATGCAAGAAAGTGACCCAGCATTTTTATAAACTGAGGGGAAGGATCCAAGGCAAAGGATGGAAACCAAGTTCTGGAGAAAAAAAGAAAGAAGGTCTACTGGGCATTAGATCTAGCACACACATTCTCTATCTCTATTAGATCATCAAATAAGCTTTGTGAAGTAGTTAAGAGTATTTCCTTTCTACAAAACAGGTATCTGAGGTAAAGGCATTAAGAATTTTTCCCAAAGTTCTACAGCTATAATCTACAAAGTCAAAACTGAAATCCAGGTTTTCCTCCAAAATCCACACTACTAGGAACAGGAAAATAAACTAAATTCTCAACAATGAGGTGAAAAAGAGATTAAAGATGAAAACAAGCTGACAGGTAAGGAAGTACGAGATGATGAAAAGGTTTTTTAGTTTCTAAAGTCTAGATGCAGTAAGAAACAAGGTCACCTGCTGAAAGTGAGTGGGATACTAGTGGGCACAGTAAAAATGAGGTGAATGTAAATATTTGAAATAATCACTATGCATAATGAAAAGATCCATGCCATTAGTGGGGTCAAAATGAGGTTGAAAATCATAAAACATTCCTAACCCGATATCTGAGAACAATCCCTCCCTTCTCTGAACCCACATCATTCTTACTGTTTATTAGAGTATGACCTATAATATAAATACAAGGTAGTATATGGGCAAGCTCTGTACAAATACTTACTCCACACAGGATAATTAATTTTTGGGAAGCAAGGCCCTACTTTCTAACTCTTCATATGCTATCATAATACCTACTTACAGTGTTAACTTTTATATTTTCCTCTGTTTTAGGAGATAGCAAATAGGAAAAGAACAAGAGAACAGTGAGAATAAAAATCAAGATGGAGATGATCATGCTAAAGCAACTGTTTACTTCACATTACCATTCTGCTTCAAAGAACTCATTGCTTTCCCAGTAATTATAAAATAAAACCCAAATGTTTCAGTATGACATAAGGCATTCCCATAATCTGGCCTTAACTGTGGTCTCTAGACTTGCCCTCAAACATTTTGCACATTAATCATCTCCATGCCTTTCTTTGGTTGTTCCTTTCCTCTCCTATCTCTGCCTACCCAAATCTTACCCATTCATCATCATATTTGCCAGTGTTATCTCCAATAAAGGTTTAATCTCCAACATTTACAGGGAACTCATACAACTTAACAAAAGGAATATAAACAATCCAATAAAAAATGGACAACTTACCTAAATAGATACTTTTCGAAAGAGGGCATTCAGAAAGCCAAGGGACATATGAAAACATGCTCAAAGTCACTAATCATCTAAGAGATGCAAATCAAAACGACAATGAGGTACCATCTCACACCTGTCAGAATGGCTATCATCAACAAATCAACAAATGACAAGTGCTGGCAAGGATGCTGAGAAAAAGGAACCCTCGTGCACTGCTGGTGGGAATGCAGACTGGTACAGCCACTGTGGAGAACAGCATGGAGTTTCCTCAAAAAACTGAAAATAGAACTCCCATTTGACCCAGTGATCCTACTTCTAGGAATATATCCCAATAAACTAGAAACACCAATTAGAAATGATATATGCACCCCTATGTTCATAGCAACACAATTTACCATAGCTAAGATTTGAAAACAGCCTAAGTGCCCATCAGCAGATGAGTGGATTAAAAAACTGTGGTACATCTACACAATGGGATACTATACTGCTGTAAAAAGAAAGGAACTCCTACCATATGCAACAGCATGGATGGAGCTGAAGGAGCATTATGCTAAGTGAAATAAGCCAGTCAGACAAAGATAAATATCACATGATCTCACTCATTTGTGGAATATAATGATCAACATAAACTGATTAGAAAAACAGATCCAGAGACACAGAAGCATCAATTAGGCCGCCAAACCTCAGAGGGAAAGTAGGGGAGGGTGGGGGTAAGGGGGAGAGATCAAAGGGCTTGTATGCATGCATATAAGCATAACCCATGGACAGACACCAGGATGGTGAGGGTATGAGTGGGGTGGGGGGGTGAGGGAATGGGGTGGGGGTAAAAACACATATGTAATACCTTAATCAATAAAGAAAATAAGAAACCCTGCTCAGATTCTACTTCCTCCCTGAAGTCTTCCTCATTCCTATCCCTAAGCAGTCTCCTTTTGTGTTCTTATAATAGTTTCTAAGTTTACTTGAACACTTATTATATTACATCCAATTTCCTTCTCTACTAAAATGTTTGCTACTGAGAGCATTGTGTTCTGGTCTAGGGTATATCCCACAGCCTTTATTATTAATGTACAATACTTAATTCAATTGAAAACACTGGAACTTAAAAAGTGATATCTAGAGTGTTAAGCCTCATTCTCTGTCCCATGGTGTTTACTCACTTTTTTCAGCTGCTAAAATCTACTTTAAAAATCACTATTTTCCCCCTACTAACTATAGTTACCAATCTGTTATTTACCCTAAGAAAAAAGTCTCTTTTAAAGGTGATCTCCTGGCTTGTGCATCGACACTCAACCACTATGCAACACTGGCCAGGAAAGAAAAAAAATTATTTAAAGGGGGGAAAAAAGCTCTAGTGGAAGAAGTAGAAACATTTTAAGCTTTCAGCAATAAAAACAGCTAGACACATGTGATAGACATTTGCTTGATGGAAACTGGTATGTCAAATGAAAACAGTATTGAAATATGATGAAAATTTAAAAATGGTAAAAGACAGCCAAAACCGGTTTGGCTCAGTGGATAGAGCTTCGGCCTGAGGACTGAAAGGTCCCAGGTTCGATTCCGGTAAAGGGCATGTACCTTGGTTGCGGGCACATCCCCAGTAGGGGGTGTGCAAGAGGCAGCTGATCGATGATTCTCTCTCATCGATGTTTCTAACTCTCTCTCTCTCTCTCTTCCTCTCTATAAAAAAATCAATAAAATATATTAAAAAAATGAAAATGATAAAAGACAAAGATAGAACACAAAATTCTATCTACACTACAATGAGGAAAAAGAATATGCAAATAGGTGAGAACCAGAGGAAATGCTAAAAAATCAAGATTGCTGTTTCTTATAGTGCATAATTGCAGGCAATTTCTGATTAAAAAAAAAATGGTACCACTTGAGGATATGTTATTATTGATTTGAGTGAGAGAGAGGAATGGAGAGAGAAACAACAATGAGGGAGAAACATCAATCAGTTGCCTCCTGTGTGTGCCCCAACTGGGAAGCGAACCCACAATCTAGGTACGTGCTCAAATTGAACCTGCAAACTTTTGGTGTACAGGCTGATGCTCTAACCAACTGAGCCACCTGGCCAGGGTGGCATCATTCATTTTTTTATGTTGATACATAGCACCACAATTTCTCCCCAATAGAAAAAATGTCCTTTTAAAAGAAAAAGTATGATCAATATTGAAATATGCAGTCCATTAGATTTTTTAATTCCATAAAAGTAGAACAATGGATCTCCAATGAAGGTGAGTTTGTTCGATACCCTCCCTAGACATTTGGTGATGTCTGGAGATATTTTTTTTAAATATATTTTATTGATTTTTTACAAAGAGGAAGGGAGAGAGATAGAGAGCCAGAAATGTCGATGAGAGAGAAACATCGACCAGCCGCCTCCTGCACATACTGGGGATGTGCCGGCAGCCAATGTACATGCCCTTGACCGGAATCGAACCCAGGACCCTTCAGTCCACAGATCGACGCTCTACCGCTGAGCCAAACCGGTTTCGGCTGGAGATATTTTTTGTTGTCATGATGGGGTGGGGGAATCTATTGGTATCTAGTGGTGGGAGCCATGCAGGCTGCTAAATATTCTATAATGCACAGAACAGTCTCCCCTTCCTTCCACACAAGAATTAACCAGCCCCAAATGTCAATAATGACATTTCTGAAAAACTCTAAGGTAAGGAATGTGTCATCTTGTTGATTTTTGGAAACCTAATGGCTAGAACAGTGCCTAGGGCACAGAAAACACTCAACATAATGAATGAACACACACCATCCTTTCTCCTTGGGGTTTATCCTGATACTGTGAACTACCCCATTGTCAAACTTTTTATCTTGTGCTCAGTCTCATCTAATAAACTGAATCTAAAGCTTCATAGGATCAATTCTTTATAATATATCAAAGGCACTATGAGTAATGACTTCTTATAACTTCCAACTTTTAAAGACATCAAAATTTGCTAGATGGAGATTCTACTACCTTTAACACTTGGTAGTAACCTGAATAGTAATTATAACTTATTTTAACACAAATACAAGCATAAAAATAAAGACACATTATAAATTTTTTCCTAAGTACTGTTTCAAAACAGAGGGGAAGGAGGCTGGGGGGAGGTTGAAGAAGGTAAAGGGAGTCAAATATATGGCTATGGAAAGAGACTAAACTTAGAGTGATGAATACACAAAGCAATATACAGATGATGTATTATAGAATTATACACTTGAAATTAATGTATCTTATTAACCAGTGTCATTCCAATAAATTTAATAACACAAATATGATTCCAAGAATAAATTACCAATTATAAAATAACTTCCAAAAAGCCTGATGATCTTCAATCACAAATTCAACAGATTCAAGGAACATTTCTGAACATCCACCATGTATTGACCATTATACTATACTTCATATAGAATATTTTCTACCTTAAATATACTATGTAAAAAATAAAAATAAAATAAAAGTATGGCTGGTGTGGCCTAGTGGTTGAGCATTGACCTATGAATCAGGAGGTTATGGTTGGATTCATGGTCAGTGCAATGCCTGAGTTGTGGGCTCCATCCCCAGTAGGGGATGTACAGGAGGCAGCAGATCAATTAGTCTCATCATTTTTGTTTCTATCTCTTTCCCTCTCCCTTTATCTCTGAAATAAAAATATTTTTAAAATCAAATCAATAAATACAGCATGTAAACAACTACTAAATTTATATTGACATGATATCTTACCACATCTTGTTTCAATTCTTGTACAGGGGACTCATTTCCAACTTTTTGTGCAGTGTTCTCTGTTTCCTATTTTAAAACAAGAGAAACAGAGACCAAATGATAACATCCTTTCTTTACAACTGTTTAAAATGGGGACAAATTAGAATATACAGCATTAATAACTCAAACACCCAGACCAGCTGGTGTGGCTCAGGGGGATGAGCATCGACCTATGAATCAGGAGATGAGGGTTGGATTCCTGGTCAGGGCACATGCCCGGGTTATGGACTGGATTCCCCAGTAGGAGGCATACAGGAGGCAGCCAATCATTGATGTTTCTATCTCTTTCCTCCTCCCTCTCCCTTCTTCTCTAAAATCAATAAAAGCATATTTTAAAAAAAATAAATCAAAGGCCCAGAAAGGGCTCAAATGTTTGTATCCTGATAGATGACCAAAAGTTTTATGCCAACTGGGACAATATGGTTTATATAAGAAGGTTATCAATCAGGAATTTTTAATTTTTTGACTGCAACAGAATATTTTCCTTTAAAAGTGATTTTTTAACCTTAATAAAGTGTGCAGCAGGGATGGGAAATGTCCAGCCCACAGGCTATATAAGGCCAGCAAAATCATTTGGTCTGGCCCTGGATAGCCATTAGGGGTAAGTTAATTAAATGTCTGGTCAAACATAGTAGGCTAACTTTTAAGGTGATAATTTTGTGTGGCCTGCAAATGATGTTATAAATATCCAAATGGCCCTTGGCAGAAAATAGGTTCCTCATCCCTGCTATTCAGGAAGATAAGAACTACTAAGTACCTTCATAGCCTAAAAAGATTAAGGATTTAAGCAAGAATAACAGAGTATTGCTGCATAAATATAAAAGGATATAATGCAGAAAACCACAATCAAACTATTGTTTTCTTAAAAACTCTATATTCTTTAGATAAAAGAAACAAGACTTAACCAGAAATTAAATGAAGTCCCCAAAACAATAGATGAACAAAATTAAACCCACTGAAAATACATACATATCTACGTATACATTCACACACACACACACACACACACACACACACACACACACACATATATATATATATATATATATATATATATATATATATTTTTTTTTTTTTTTTTTGGAAGGTTAGAGAAGGTAAAAGTGGATACTGCATTTTTGCTAGGAAAATTTTTGAGTGAAATATGATAATCATACATTTGTAAATCATAATGTATTTTTTCTCCATCTTTTTTTTTAATGGAATAGTATTCAACTTTATTTTTTTCCTTAATTTTTCTTGTTCATATTATTACAAATGTCCCTTCCCCCTCCTTCCCACCCCACCCTCTGCCCTTTCCCCACCCCCCATTGTCCTCATCCATAGGTGCACAGTTTATGTTCAGTCTCTTCCCACATCCCCCTCTCCCCTTTTCCCCAAGAATCATCAGTTCACTCCCCTTCCCTACCTCTGATTCTATTATATTCAACAGTTAATATTGTTCCTCAGATTTGTTTTTTAATTTCCTTGGTTTTTAGATTCACTTGTTGATAGTTACGTATTTGTTGTTCATAATTTTTATCTTTATTTACTTTCTCTTTTGAAAGAACCCCCTTCAGCAATTCATATAATTCTGGTTTGGTGATGATGAACTCCTTTAGCTTTTTTTTATTAGTAAAGCTCTTTATCTGACCTTCGAATCTGAGTGATAGCTTTGCTGGATAGATTATCTTTGGCTGTAGGTTCTTACTATTCATCACCTTGAATATTTCTTGCCATTCCCGTCTGGCCTGCATGGTTTCTGTTAAGAAGTCAGCTGACAGTCGTATAGGTGCTCCTTTATAGGTAACTACCTGCTTAGCTCTTGCTGCTTTTAATATTTTCTCTTTGTCTTTTGCTCTTGGAATCTTAATTATGATTTGTCTTGGTGTGGTCCTCTTTGGATTCCTTTTATTTGGAGTTCTGTGTGCTTCCTGGACTTGTAAGTCCAATTCTTTCCCCAAGTGGGGGAAGTTTTCTGTCACTATTTCTTTCAATATGTTTTCGATATCTTGCTCTCTCTCATCTTCTGGGACCCCCATAATTCTGATGTTGGATCGTTTGACTTTGTCCCAGAGGTTTCTTACATCATCTTCAATTTTCTGGATTCTCTTGCCTTCTAGCTTCTGCAGAGGATTATCTTCTGGCTCTTTATGTTCCAAATCTTTGACTTGATTCTTGCGATCTTCTATTCTGTTTTTAGGACTCTGTATAATAGTTTTTATTTCAGACAATGTATTCTTTATTTTTTGTTGATCCCTTTTCATATCCTCATAATTCTCATTTATTTTATCAGCCTTTTCTAGGAAACTCTTGAAAAACCTTATAAGTGTGGTTTTGAACTCTATCCAGTCGCTTTTTTTTCCTCCATTTCTTTCCTTTGTGATCTATTTGGTTTAGGCATTTTCGCAGGCAGCTTTCCTGATGGGGCGGGGTTTCAGGGTGGAGCCTACAGCCTTGGCTTCCGTCAGCCCCGCCCTATGCGGCTCTTGAGACTCAGGGTCCTTCAGTTCTCCTTGCAAGCGCCTCTGAGAGAAAGGCGCCCTTGATTTTCGCCTGCTGCCAAACAGTCTAGTCTCTCCCCCAATGGGCCCGAAACTGGGGTTCAGTTCAGTTGGAAGTGGAGTTGGAGGTGGCGTTCAGAACAGTCTGGAGCCCCTGTCTCCTTCTGGCCAGGGCAATCCCGCGGCACAGCCGGCAGGCCCTTCTCTGCGCGGCGCCGCCGGGACCTCCTTTCGCCTCTTCCCCGGGGTTCCGCCTTTCAGCCCGGCTCCCTCTGTGTGAGCCTGGGTCCCCGGGGTCTGGCCTAGGCCTGGGGTTCAGAGCTGTCAGGGCCCCAGCACAGTCGGAGTTTTATCTCCTTCCCGCCAGGGAACGCCAGCCAGGCAGTCAGCCTCCCTCCTCTCTGGCTCCGTCCTCTCCGCGCGCTGCGTGTCTCCGTACCTTAGGCTTTTCCAGCTCCTCCGAGCTTCCTTCTGGTTTTCTCCTTGCTTCTTGTTGTAGAATTTCCAGTCAGTCGACTTTCCTGTAGTTCTGGGTGATGTCCATTTTATATTTTAGTTGTATTTTACTGAAATTGTTGCGTGCGGCTGCGGCTAGGTGCCTACCCGAGCAGCCATCTTGGATTCTCCTTTTCTCCATCTTAAGTTGTCTTTACATTTATAGAGTACAGCAATTTGAACACTACTCCTAATATCTCTTCATAATTCTTGATGTATACCACAGACTTGTTAAAGAAGGACACTATAAGCATTTTTTTAAATTTTATTTTACTATAAGCATTTTTTTTTGTCATATAAGTGACCTAAGACACAAAAGGATGTATGAAGGTATTAAGGTAGCACTTCTACAGAGTATCCAGATGTTATCACAATAGGCTCCATGATATAGTTACTCCACAGATTATTATAATGCTAAAGATACAATGTGCTAGAGAAATTTCTGTAGGACTTCTAATATGTTAAAACTGAAAAGCTGTTTCATTGAATTCCTTCTAGTATTTGGGGAACACTACCAATCTTATATAGATTCTACTAGATAAAAACTGTTTCATGGAATTTTAAGTGTTACATAAAATTCAAAGTCTACCACAGCCCAAGAGCGCCTAACATGATATTGCCCCTGCCTCCATCTTTGACATCTTCTACATTTTCACTCTCCCTCTCCAACCAATACCCCACAATTACACTTGGGGGCTCTCTACCATCCTTAGGGTTATAGGTCCAGTGTTAGTTACATCAGAAAAGCCTTCCCTTACTACCCTAAAATAGCCTCAGCCCTTCAACTTTCAATCATGTTATCATATTTTCTTTTTCTTTGTACTATCATCATCTGAAACTACCTTGTTTACTTATTTTTTTTCTCTTCCCTACCCTACTAGAATGTTAGCTCCTTATTTGTTCTGTCTACCACTACTTACCCATCACTTAAAACCATGGTTGGCAAACTATGGCTCGCGAGCCACATGTGGCTCTTTGGCTCCTTGAGTGTGGCTCTTCCACAAAATACCATGGCCTGGGTGAGTCTATTTTGAAGAAGTGGCGTTAGAAGAAGTTTAAGTTTAAAAAATTTGGCTCTCAAAAGAAATTTCAATCGTTGTACTCTTGATATTTGGCTCTGTTGACTAATGAGTTTGCCGATCATTGACCTAAAACAATGTCTGGCAGAAGTAATCATTTATTGAATGAATGTTAAATAATGCATGTTCTGACTTTTCTTCAATTAATACACATATCTTAAGTTTATATATCCTTTAATTGGATACTGGCATTAAACTTATTATAAACACCTATAATCAAAAGCAATTAAAGGTGGGGAAAGAGTTAACTGGAAAAAGGTGGTCTAAAGGTACAAACTTTTTGTTAGAAAACACATAGGTACTAGGGATATAATGTACAACACAATGGCTATAGTTAACTCTACAGTTTAATATACAGAAAAGTTGTTGAGAGTAAAAAGAAAAAAAAAGTTGTTCTCGTTATAAGAAAAAATTTTTCAATTTTTTCTTTCTTTTTATTGTATCTATGTGAGAAGGTAGATGTTAGCTAAACCTACTGTGATAGTCATTTCCTAATATATGTAAATTAACCCTTTGCACTCCACTGTCCCCTCTCAGGGGACATCGGAATTCTAGCATATCACTCGGATGTCCCCTCTCAGGGGACATTGCAGTATATTAGTGATTACGGGGAATTGAGTTAATTCAACGCACGTTTTGCAAAGTAGCGTCGAGTAGCTGGTAGCCAATGTCCAGAATGGTTTGGAGTGCAAAGGGTTAAACCATCATGCTGTATTATTTAAACTTATACAATGATGTATGTCAATTATATCACAATAGAACTGAGAAAAAAGAAACAAAAGAACAGTTAATTTATGTTAGAGAAACACCTTCAACTGTATTACAAATTAAGTATCCAATTATCCTCCAATAACGTTCATTAGTAGGAAAATCAGAGGCATTTGAACAATCTATTTCCATGGATATTTCCCTAAATTAACCTAAGCAAAATTACACACTAAATATTCTTGTACCTCATTTTAATTTGTTT